GGTGGTAAGGTATTTATGGGAAATAATGTTTTTTGCGATGTTATGGGAATTGGAACAATTAAAATCAAGACAGCGAATGATTTGGTAAGAACTCTAACGAATGTATGTTAAAAAGAATGTGATATTTGTGGGAGCATTGGATTCTAAAGGTTGCTAGTGTGAAGATAAGATTAGAAGAGGGTCACATGTCATGTTTTTGATAAAGAAGGTCAACAATCTCTATATTTTGTTTGAAAATGCTATGCTAGGTGGAACAATTGTAAAAACGGAATATAAGCCTGTTTTGAGATCTACTAGAATGAAGAATCAAGAATGACAAAAGAAAGAAGAAGCCTTAACAATTGTAAGAGTATTAACCTTTATCCCAAAAGTAAGAAGAGCTCAATTTGGTGATGCGAAAGAACGTAGATTACAAGTTTAATTATTTGAACTTGAAATTTGCTAAGAATAGATAAGTATGGTGGTGCGGCGAAGAACGAGAAGAAAGAGAATGATAAAGTTTAAGAAAAAGGTTGAGATTGTTTGAGTGTTTCTCAATTTCATTATAGTTCTCTATTTAAGGTGGAGCTATGAAGAGCTTGAAGTGGAGCTATAAATAGATCCTTATTCAAGGTGGAGCTATGGAGGAGCACGTGAAGACATAGTCTGATCACGTGTTGATTACGTAAATTATTCGGGAGATTGAAGATTTACAGACTTGATTTTGGCTACTGCTAAAGTTGAATCGGTTCAGCCCCATTTGAACTGGTTCAAGTGTGGCGTCGACTTTGACTATTGCCAAAGTTGAACCGGTTCAGATGGGGTAGTGGGTTTTTCATTCAGTTTTGGAAGACCAGAAGGCTTGGGGAAAAAGCTTAAAATTTTCGGAAGAAATTATACCCACTTTTTTAAAGTTGAAGACAAATATAGTAACTCCTTATAAGCAAGTTGAGGAATATTTGTCCAACAATGAATTGGGTTTTAAAAACTCTATAAATAGATATGAATTTAAAGAGAGAAAATTATAGAGAGAAAAATAGAGTTGAGATTGTTTGAGAGAGGATAATGTATAATCAAAATTTTTAAATAAAGTTATTCTTCGCCTATGGACTACACAATTTGCCAAATTACATAAATTTTGTTTTTATGCTTATGTATGTATTTTTTATCTGTTATATTTGTGTGTGCGTAAAACCATAACATAATACTGTAATTGATTGGAATAGTTTATTTACTTTGACAAAAATCACGTGCATGCTTTTCAGTTTGGAGTTTGGAATATTCCCCATTTCTTTTGGGACATATGTTGTACCTTAATTTGTTCATTCTTGGACGGTGCTATATGTACCAAAGATGCTAAAGTTGTAGCAACTTTTGGTCTTCAATCATTTTGAATGATCATTATTGTAGGAAAATTTAAGTGAAAATTAAGTTTATTATCAAAAGAAAATAAAGTAATTGTTTTTGTCAGTCATGGAAATTGTTTAGTACACAATAACTACAGAAAATCACAAATCACCCCTAACCAGTACCATTAAAAGAAATTTTTTTCTAAATATTATTGTGCAAATTCCTTCAAAGGTGACGTGGAACTTGTTCAGCATTTGGTAATACACTTGTAAAGATAATGTCAATAGTGCAAAGCGTTTCCCACTGTTGAGAGTGGATATATAAAAAAAAAAAAATTAGATGTAACGATATCTATTATAGATTTTTTTTGGATTTGTTGGGACTTAGTTGTGAGTCTTGTGACATCCACTGCTTATATAGGCATGATGATGATGAGGACAAGATTCAAGTCTGTTGAATTTTTAGATTCAAATCAGAACTTTTATCTTATCATTTAAATATTTATAATCTCTTTAACGATTTACCCTTTTAAAATTTTTTCCTCTACCCCTGAATATTGGCGGGGCGAACATGTAAATAAGTTCCAAGATGCTACAAAATGGGTGTGCGGTGGGATTTCTCAAAACCAAACATGAGGCTCTATTGGAGAATTAGGTATAAGTTTTGGGTTAAGAGAGGTTTCATATATATATTATTGCCCAAGCCAGAAACCATACCGTGTAAGGTAATCATATGAGATTTGAGTCAAAAACAATTGTTTCATACAAAATAAAGTGAAGTTACATTTGTATTCCTTAAGAAATCCAGCAAAAGTCAATAAACACAACTTTAAAACACAGTGCATGGAATTTTTCATTTTTCTATAATTACTAAAAAAACACAATAATTTATAAATACTTACCCAAAAAACCAATTGTGATATTTGAGTCATTTCAAAATAATCAAAGTAAATAATAGCATATGCAATAATATTTTAAAAATTGAAAGAGTTTTGAGAAGAATTTAGTGATGTCTTTGAACAGTCGGATAAGAGAATTTAGAGGTTGTGATCATTCGATAGGGGTGGCAATTCAACCCGAACACAATTAATAATCGTGTCAAATATCCTCAACCCTAATACGACCTGTTTATTAAACCCTAATACGACCTGTTTATTAAACCCTAATACGACGCGTGTAACCCGTTTAATAAACAAGTCGTGTAACACACACCAAAGACCTGTTTAAAGACATGTTTAACCTATTTAACATGCTTAGCTTAAAGATCTGTGTAACATGCTTATACGGAGTAATCGATAGGGCATTCCGTAGTTTGATTTTATTTTTTTCTTTTCAGGGCATTCAATCCCATAAATGATTGTGGTCATAATTAGAATCAGTTAACACTGCAAGAAAGATTTATGATAATACTATTTTATACTATTAACATAACACAAATTGATGAATCATTGAACAAGAATCATTAATCCCCAAAAATCCTCCTCATCATCAATCATAATCTTAATCACATTATTTACATATATATATATCCCAATCAGCATGGGCAAAACAGAGCCCCAAAAGTCATGATCTGCAAAAAAATGAGCTTACAAAAGTGATACTACAGAAGAAAAAAAAAAAAAAAAAATCTCAATCTCTCTTGTTGTTTCAATTAGATTTAAAAGAGGAAAGAGAGAAAAAAATTAGAAAAATTACTTCCACCATTCCAAAAGAGAGAGAGAGAGAGAGAGTCACACTGAGATAGGGAGTATTTGTCTGGTTAGGGACTCATGGACATGGTGAGAGAGAATAAGATAACAAGAGGAGAGACTTAAGAGAATAAGAGGCGTAATGGACTTGGGAGTGTTAATTGTATTGGACCAAGCTTTAAGAATTTGGGTTACTTATGCAAATATGAATTGACTATAATATCCCTTACTAATCGGGTCAAAACAGGTAACGGGTTAAACAGGTTCACAAGTGACACGTTTAATTAAACGGTTATAAACAGTTTACATGGGTTGAACTTCAAAACTCGAATACGACATGATTAACTAAATAGGTTAATCGTGTCAACCCTTTTTCGACATGAACCCGTTTATAATAAATCCATTACTCATTTAACTCGTGTCATATGCATGTCACGTTGATAGGTTGTGTCGAACTTTGTCACTCCTATCATTTGATAGGAGAGAATGGTTGAAAGAGAGAGAGTTAAATCTAGAATATGAAATGTTATGTTAGTTGAGAATTAAAGATTGAGAAAATATGATTTTGGTGACCAAAATGAAAAATAATTGAGAAAAAATGAATAGATCAAACTTTAAAAAAATTACAAATTAGTGACTATTTTAAGTTTAATTTCCTAAATGCCCATCTACCACAACTCGACTATGCTCTTCCACTGCCTAACAAAAGTGGTGAATAACTAATCGAATATTTCTAGTGCCATGTTACATGCGCACAATCCTTGTCCCTTGTCATCCACCACCACTTCCACTTCCACTTGCAAATGCTCAAAAAGTGTCCCATAAACGATTCCATCTTATAGCAAAACACTGTTCAAATGTCCAAAAAGTCTTCGATGTTTTCTTTTAAAAACAATTATTGTAATCCCAAACCACATTTCTCAATACTGAATATCCTTGTGCAATTCTAGCAATAATTACTCCAATTGTTTTTATTTCACTTTCCAAACCTTAATTTCACTTTCAGCCTTTCTATTCTCAATCCTTGTTCTCAGTAGTATATTTCTTCAGCCAAATCAACAATCTTTCCCATTTCCCATTTGTGACGCCTTATTTCTCATTCCCTATTCTTACTAGTCACTCATTTGGATATTTTTCCTCACATTTTACTATATGCTTTATCTCTTCCTTTAGCTATTTGATTTTTAAAAGTATAGTGTAAGTTCTCAAATGGTTGGGTTGCGGGAGCCAGAGTTTTGCACTTCTTCTTTCTCTTCCCTTTAACCACTAATTTAATATTTTTGTCATTTGGTACAAGCCACTGCCAAATATTGTAATTTAGTGGTATTTATTTATTTTAAATAAAAGATCCAAGATTTAAGTTCTCTACATTCTCTCACTAAATCAAGAGTAGTGCTATAAATCACTCCAACCGAGAATTTTATACAAGACTATAACACTACTCTTGATTTGGTTCGTGTTTTTATTTATTTATTTTTATCATATTCTTTTGTTATTAAATTTCAATGTTACTTTTTATTTTCATTATATATATATATATATAAAGCACTTTCAACCTTTATTTTATTTTTACATGGCAAGTAGAGGAGAGGAGGGGAAGGATGAGGTGAGTCACCTGGCCTACCCAGCTCACCCCGAAACCATTGCCCATAAAAATGCACACAGTGTTCCCAAAGAATAGAAGGCAAGATCACAAACATATTATAATAGCTTCCATATATACACAGTCGTTTTGGCAAAAAAAAACAAAGGAAAAAAAAAAGGAAGTGACTAAGGCTATAAGCCCATATCTAGAGTGGGCTTTAAATGGTAAATAAATGTTCTTCACAAGTCTATTGGACTGGGCTTGAGGGGTTATTGTCTTATTTCAACAGGCAATGACTAAAAAGCCCAGATCTAGAGACTCTGTGTGTGTGTGTTTTGTTTTTTTTTTTTTTTTTTAATCAAAATGTTTATCACATGCCTTCTTCAGGATTTCCACTTTTCGTATTAGAGGGTCCACGTGGGAATATTTCATCCTAACACGTGTCCCCTTGCTGCTTGTCTCCACTGAAGAACTCTCCCTACCCCCACACTCTAAAAAAACACACACGGCAACATGAATTCTGCAGCAGTTCGGGACACCTAGTAAGTTCTCTACGTTCTCTCACAAAATCCCTTTAATCTATTCTCTCCAAGCATCGCTGTTGTTGTTGATGACGACAATGACGATGATAATGATCTTCATATTTTTTGCTCTATATTCTTATTCAAATTTCAAGTGACCTCTATGTGTTTGAATAAATACCAATTTGCAATTTTTGGTATTAGGCCAACTCATTCTGACAACATTGAAGAACAATAATTCATTGAAATGAGTTATATTGCAATTCTATTTTACTTTTAAAACATACCCATTTCTAGTTCGTTGTTAATGGGCGCATTTGATTGAAGATTGGAATTAGTGGCCATGATTTTACTTCACTTTCTAGGTTTTAGTTTCTTGAATTTACTTGTTATCCCTAATTTCTATTGCCCTACTGGCTACTTGGATACATTGTCCCTGTTACCCACCTCTGTGGGCTCACTCATTTTTTTTACTCAATTTTTTTTTTCAACCATACTTAATTGATGCACTGCCCCATGCAGTTGAGATTGTTCCACATGAAGTGAATTTAAGATTTAAAATTTTCCGATTAAACGATGTTCTACTTTCAGAGATTAAAAAAAAAACCCCACAATTGTATTGGGGGAATTCTACTTCATACCATTTAAAGGTATAATTATAGTGAGGGGTAAGACTATTCACAGTGGGCTGTGTTTCTGAAAGGATGGAGACTGCCTATCATCTTATATATGCATTTCAGACCCTGTTTTGACTCATATTGTCTTTAAACATTTATGCATGCTTAGTAATTAGTATTCTTCAAATTTGTAATATGGACTTTGCATTACCCTCCTTAACAAGAGCCTCATATTAACTACATTCCTCCTCCCTTATTAAACACTAGATAAGTGTATAATTTATATTTGACACAGATTGTTGGTTTATTTTATTAATGATTACTCCTTGTGAAAAGTAACAATAAGGTTTTTTGGTTTTACTATTTGCACTATTCACTAAAGTGCAGTTTTGATTTTTCAGTGGCTTACTCATGTGTGGGCTGTGTAATTTAGTGGCTTTGTGTCCTTGTCACAATTAAATTAGATTAGATGCTATTGGTGTGAAAAATGTTGTTCCTGATCTCTACATTTTTGTTTTGGCGGTAGGAAGTCTTTACCATGGATTGTCCTATGATAGGCGCTGCAAGGTAAAGTTGTTTTTATTGTGTTTTTTTTTTTTTCTTTACTTTAGGGTGTAACTTTGTCAACTTATGCCAGTCAGTTTGTCTGTTCATTTATTTTTTTCTTTTTCATTGCAGATGTGTGACAACAAATTTGATTGTTTTGTCATATATATATATATATATCTATACTATTAAGAAGTTTTTTGGTCAATGATATACTTTCGATAACTGTAGAGATAAAAGTTGTGTTGATTACTACTTGTTTCATCATAATATCCTACCATATCAGCATTTCCGACTTATGTATAATTTTTACCTGATATTGTTATTTAATTTTCACTTCAACTCTTCAAATTTTGTATTGTGCTCACTTCCGTTCCACTGCAACTTTGACAGCTGTTCTCTTGACAGCCATGGTTGGTTTCCAAGGCATTCAAAAAAGTTTAATTTGGAGAATATCCACAGACTTCCATGTAATATGGCAGCGTGGAGTTCGAGGACGAGATCTCAAGGTTAAGTTACCCAAATCAAGCTTCTGTTGGAAAGAAATCGGTGCGTTGTGTGTCTTGGAGAACATTTTCCTCACCTTCAAGTCTGGAGGAGGAATTATCATCGCCAGTAGAATATTACTCGATTGATGATGAGTATACCGCTGAGGCTCTCTCTGAGGAGCTTCTAGAACGACCTTTGAAAAATGACGTGGTAAGCTCATTCTTCACCTGCCATTAAATACCTCTATATACTATGCTGAGAAGAGAGTATGTTATTTCTTTCACCATCTAATTTCTTTTTTCTACTTTATTAAAAACATTATTACATTGATGTTCAGATATCTTGATGTCCAGTATACAAATAGTTTACAGCCTAGTATATGCATGTAATACATTCAAATATCCCAACATATATATTTAGAACTTTCCCTCATTAATGAAAACAAATTTCGAGAAAATGGCTGACATGTTATTAAAGCCCTTATGGGGCTGGTATCACCATTTTAATCACCCGTGTTACAAAATCATTCAATTTTCAATTGTTACAATGAACTATTCGGTTAATAATATATCAGAACTAGTTATGGATTTGGAAGACTCTAGTTAAACATAACATACCAATTTAAATATGATCATTCATGTGGTTCTGATATGCTGTGATCTTAAATCTTTGTTTATATAGTTCATTTGTGGGAAATGAGGAGAAGTAATTTTATTATCATTGAATCCATTTTTGCTTACTTTTCTTTGTATTGAATACTTGAATTATTTTCAATTTTTTTTTTTTTTAAATTAAAAATTCTATCTATGTGAAATTAATCATTGAATACTTGAAATTTTAAAATTCTATATATGTGAAATTAAAATTGAAAAAAAAAAAAAGAAATTTGAAGGTTATGTAAATCGACACGTCGGTGCCCACAATAATTCAGTTAATTAAAAATTGAGGTTTTATTTTAAAATTATGCCAATTACTTTCAATTCAAGCTCTAATCCATAAAATATGGTCTTCTAAGTTAAACAAGTACAAACTTCTGTTGTCATTATCACCATCAACATCTTCTCAACCATTCTTCTACTCCCTAAGTGCGTGCCTGATTAATATATAGTATTCTATTGTTGGATTAGAACCTGAAAAAAAATATATATATATATATTATTTGGAGATTTTTTCTTACATTTTATATTCTTAATTTTTAAATTATCTATTATCTATGTTGATACAAGCCACCCAGCAAATATGGTAGTCTGGTAAATTTTTTTTTTTCTTTTGAAGTAGAACAAATCCTACTATAGATCACTCCAACCGAGAATTTTAGAGGGAATAAGTTTTAAAGACAAATGAAATTGAGTGTATGCTTCATTCAAAACAGACTAGACTGTTAATAAGACTATATAACAGTGACAACACTACTCTTGAATTGGTTTGTTTCTATTTTTTATTTTATATAATATCCTTTTGTTATTAAAATTCAATCTTGCTGCCAAGAAAAGTTTTTTTTTTTTCTTAATTTGACCAAAAAAAATATACCAAACCTTCAACCCTATTAAAGCTCTGATGTTGTGTTTGAGAAAATTAAATTGGCACCTTGAATTTGAAATTAAATGAGTTTTAGTTCAAAATTTTAATGAATTCTGATCCTAAATCCAAACCACAGTTTTGGTGCTATTATTTATTATTATTATTATTATTTTGTATTTTCAAGGTTAAGGTTTTATATTTTTTAGTTTGCTTAACCAAAAACAGTTTGTCCACGGAAGTTTAGTTTTATTTTGAAACCATTGCCCCATTAAAATGAATAAATTGTGCCCCAAAGAAGAAGGCAAGACCACAAACATATAATAGCTTAATACATATTCAGGACAATGACTAAGCCCATATATAGAGTGGGCTTTCAATGGTAGATAAAGGTTCTTCACGAGCTCATTGGACTGGGCTTTAGGGGTTGTCTCTTGGCAAAAGGCAATAACTAAGCCCGGATTCATAGTGGGCTTTCAAACGTTTTCCATTTGAAGATGGTGTGTAAGAATAAGTTGAACTGGTTTCTGAAGAGTTTAAATGAATGGATGAAGATCAGGCTTGGTTTGATTGATTATGAGATGCACCAGCCCCGGTAAGCATCGAACAATTTAGAAAGAGTGTTATCTTTAATGTGCCTTCCGAGTGTCGAACTAGGGGAACCTCGAGCCTCCTCCTCTATAGCATCTATCTCACGCCGCAACTCCATGGACCAACTCATGCGTGTCAGTCCATGCTAAACTTGTTCAATCTTAAATTTAACAAATATAATGTTCATGGTAAATGAATGAGAATGGTGTTCATTAGAAAGTATCACTTGCTTTTTAAACATTGCTTCTTTGGCCAGTCTTGTAAGTCCATATAGCATGCATTCACTGTGTCACCATTCATCTTCTTTAATACTACAAAAATTAGCAAATACACTGAAAGACGATTGACATCAATTCATAGGCTGGATTAATACAAAACTTTACTCTATTTTTCTTATTTGATAGACACACACCCTACTTAGAGAAATTGTTTGCATCAAAGAAGAGTCGAACCATAGACATGATGCTTTCCGAGACACCAGAGTCACGTGACTCACCCATGAGCCAACCCTTGGAATTAAGCATACTCTATATTACATGACTTAACAAAATAACAACTAGAGAAACACACCAAACCTGTCTGCATACCATACCATGCTTAGCAATAAACAAAGATAGTTCATATTAGATCTACAAACCACTGGAACCAGGAACATCTATCCACTGCAACTGGAGTTCAATCTCGCCACTCTCGACATTTTGCAGTCGAAGGAACATGTTCTGGACAACCTTGCCGTCCGTCCAGACAATGCAGCTCTCTTCTGCCAAGCAGTTCTCCCGGCTCGGTATTACTCTTGTGACGATGGTTCCATTAGCGACATTTCCCAACTGCATCTTTAGTGCTTCAACAAATGGTCCGATGTCCAACTCTGCATCTCCCATTTTGTCATCAATGGTGAATGTGTCCTTGTCATAAATAGACTGCAATTACAAAGAATAAAATGGTGTATAAATATGATTGTTAGAATTAATGATTGGAGAATTATCTTTACTAATCAGAACAACGAAATTAAAGTCATTCAAGAAATGCCATATTATTTTTCATGTCCATGAATTAACCACCAATATCAAGTGAGGTATACCCCATTTTGAAACTAGTAGCATTACAAGCTCTTTAAAATAACTGAAATACTTACAAGCTTAATTGGAATATTAGGATCTGCAATAGAGAGTGTCAAATCTTCATTCCACTCAGGATTGACGTCATTTTTCACTACAGGAGTCTTCAATTCCTGCATCAAATTTGAAATAAAAATAATATCCGTTAAAATAAATAAAGCTGAAGGTCTAATTATTATCCAAAATGAATGGAATATCAACTCTACCACCTACAAAGATTTGCATATAATACAACGATTTGAAGTAGAATCAAGCATTTCACAAGCTTCAAATTACACGAGACAAAAAGATAATGGATATTGTCTGCAACTGAAAACTAGCAGTTGACAGGTTAGCTTGTGGCTAAAAAACAGGAACAACCAAAATCACCCCATAAAAGAAACGTGGACAAACCTTAAAATTTAGTCCAGCTTTGTTCCGGCTAATTCCAGAATAGAAAATAATTTTGAAATTTCTAAATTTGTAACCTTACACTAATTGCAAGGGTAAAGTGTATAAAACACTCCTAAAAGTATACTCTGCATACCACTTTCGTCTCCTATTTTAAAAAGTTTGCTATTAATCTTTTTATTCTTTAAAAATTGAGCAAAAACATCCTTTGTAATACCCGTTTTGACCTTTTACTCTTCCGAAAATTTTCAAAGGAGTGTTTATGCAAATAATCTCATAACACAGGGATGTTATGTGTGCAAATTAACTATATTTAGCCCACTTTTAAGAATTTTCTCTCGCCTTTACAAAAAATAAAAATTTCTCTATATATTTCCCCTAACAATTGATTATCTTTTTGTACTATCACTCTTTGAATTGACGGTCTTACATTTCCTAGAACTTAGGGCCACTCATAAGTTAGAATGTTATGATATAAAAATTTCTTTTATTAGTCAAATGGAGAAATAAAAAAAAAAAAATTGTTCTCATAGTTGTAGATTAATGTACAATATATCATATATTCAAATGGAATGAAAATATCAATTCTTTCTATAATTATAAAAAATAATTAATATAGCTATCATTTTTCATTAAATATATAATTAAAAAAATTAAATTAAAGATACTTATTCATTATATATATATATATAATTTTGTACATAGCAACAAATGGGTGTTCAATTTTTATTGAAAAATCCCCGCATCACTGCCCTCTACTCCTTAAATTTTCACAGATATATATATATGATTCATTACATAGCAACACATGAGTGTTCAATTTTTATTGAAAAAGAAAAAGGGAAAAAAAAATACAAATGGTTGTTCAATCACCCCCAGTTTACTGCATTTTACCCTGGGTGTTGTCCTTTTTCGTCATTTCACAAAATGACTTTTTTTATAAATAAATAAAAAAAAAATGTGTAAATTGTCTCCACAAGAAAGAATAATTTGGACAAAGTCTATCTTAAATGTATGGGATGAAACTTATTTGTACACATTGATACTTTAAGACTGTTTATATTATGGGGTGTTTTTTTCACTTTTACCCCCTAATTATAAATACATAAAGATCATTAACAAAAAAACTCCAGAAAATAAATTAATACGGAGTATAAGGGTTCGTTTGGTTAGATAGAAATAGATGGTGGAAAGTGAAAGTGAAAGAAAGTGAAGTGAAGGAAAAGAAAATTAAGTTTCTATGGTGCATTTGGTTAGCGTGAAATTTTTTTAAGAAAGTTGTGAGAAAATATTATGTTGTTAGTTTGGATAGAATGAAAGAGAAAAGAAAATGATTGTACTTGATAAAATTGCCCTTATAATTTTAAATACTAAAAACATAAATAAATTTGAATAAAATTAATTCATGCATCAAATTTTGTTCTTGATAATAATATTCTGAACTTGTATGAGACACCAAGTCACCTGAATTACTTTAGTCAAATATATATACATATATATATATATGTGATTTAGACATTACAATTTATATAATAATTGTAAGAACTTTGATGAAATCGAATAAGATTAGAATTGTTTCACTATATATTTGTTTATATTAGAAAAACCAATACCAATAGAATTTTACATATAACAACGATCAGGGTTTTCTTTTTGAATTCAACTAAGATTATATAACTATAGAATATTTTGTATTTTTCTTTTTAATAAACGTATATATTTCCTAAAACTTATAATAACTTTAGTATCTAAATTCTAAAATCTAGTTGATATGTATATATACATATTGTAAATTAATATAATGCACCTAAAAAAATACCCACCATAAAATGTTGTATGTATATACCTATTTGAAAAAAAATAATAATAATAATTAAAAAAAATGCTAAAATAAGATCTCCCCAATTTCATGAGCTCATTTACCTTTGGGAAAAAAAAAAAAAAAAAAAAATGTCTTTCAAAAGAGGAGAAAAAGATAAAGAAAACCCAATTAATAATTAGGGGTATAATAAAAATTTAAAATATAACTTCACAACTTTCCTAAGAAACAAAATTTTTAATTAACTACTTTCGGGAATCCCAATTTTCTGAAAACTTTTTGTTTCATCCTAAACAAACGCACAAAAAATTTAAATATTTTTCAATTTTTTTCCTTTCTTACTAGTTCTATTTAACCAAACGAACTTAAGAGAACTCCAAGGAAAATCGAGTGGTCAAGGGACACAGGAAAAAATTCTAAAATATCGCGGAAACCATACCCTTAGGTCTTCCGCGATATGATGATGGGGCCACTTAAATGCATGATCCAATAGACTTTCTCGGCTAGAAAAAAATAATTATGACACATCATGAAAATCAAGCCTCACCCTTTGATTGAATTTATACATATACAAGAGTCAAGACAAGGAATGTAACATATATTATAATATTACTCATTTCTCGACAATAATAAAGACAAACAAAAAATTTGGGAACATAAATTCCCAGGAAAGAAGAGAAGATCAAAATAAATAAAAATAGTACTGGGACAAAATCACAAATAGTTTTACCCAAACCAAATAACTCTATAGGTTTATAACAATAATAGGCATATATCCGTGTGTAAAAGAGTAAGGCTATCAAGAATCTTAACCCCTTACCGCGGGATTGAAAAAACTTGAACACCAACTAATCAATTACTGTAATATCAAAATTTGCATCAAAAGCAACCAATTAAAGCAGCAAAATTGAATCAAAGAGTAAAAAAGATTGCAGAATAATAATGACCTGTTTGCCCATTCGGACAACAAGGTAGGCATCGCTGCTCGTGGAATCTCTGACAGCAAGGTTTACGCCTCTGTGGACGTGAATTCTGAGAAGACCCAACGAGTTTTCCATCTGAATTAAGATGGGTGTACTGGACAAGTTCAACTGGTTGCTTGCTGAGAGACTCGAAATGAATGGATGAAAGAGAATTGGTTTTGATTATGAGAGAGACTTTTGTAGCAGACAGAGTGGTTTTGATTCCTTGGTTTGACGATTCTGACCTCTTTTGATGTTTTTACTTTTTATACCAACAAATCGCACAGCGACAGTAAGTGGAGCATTTAAGTGGAGTGGTATGTTAAAGTCTTACAAAATTTCATTCTCTATTTGAGGTGGAGGTATAAGAGCATTTTCAATGCCTTCTCAAAGTCAAAATATAGTAACCGGATAAAAATACTACACTTCAACGAGTTCTCAAAACGTCTTTCATATTTTGAGATTATCAAAAGTATTTACATATATAGCAGCTCTCAAAATTTTTTGAGTGGTCTCTTTTTTGTTTTTTCTTACAGTGCCGTTTCGCAAAATATAACAGGTGGATGAAAATAATACATTCCAAATAATATTTTGAATGAAATGCACCATTGGAGCAGAATTGTTAAAATATAACATTTTAACACAGTATCTCCTCTCAAAATATAGCTTTGATATGGAAAAATAGCATTTTGCATTGGAGATGCTCTAAAGAGCTTTAGTTGGAGCAGGGTTAAAAAAAAATATAAAAAAACAAAAAAAAAGGTCCAGAATTTTATTTTTTGGGGTTGTTTAGGGGAATTTAATAATTTATATAGAGGGTTTTTTTTTAAAAAAAATAATTTCAGTGGAGGTAATTTTAAAATTTTATGCGTATAAATGTAAAAAAAATACAAATTTAAGGATATAAAATGCAATAATAAAAATTTTCAGTGGACTGAGCTCACAGTAGATCTGTCCCTTGGTGGAGGTATAAAGAAATCTTTATTTAAGGTGGAGCTATGGAGAAACATATGAAGATATAATCTGATCACGTGTTGATTACGTGAATGATTTGGCAAACTTGATTTTTGCTACTGCCAAAGTTGAATCGATTCAACTTGGACAATGAGTTTTTGAAAGTTGTGAGAAAGAATTTCCTAATCAATTTTGGTAGTCAGAAGACTCAAAAAAAAATGTGAAAATTTGAGAAAGAAGTTATACCTATTATTTTAGAGTTGAAGACGGATATGATAACTTATTGTAGGCAAGTTGGGGAATACTTGTCCAACAAAAAATTAAGTTTTGAAGATTGTATAAATAGAGATGGGTTTAGAGAGAGAAAATTGTAGGGAGAAAAAAAGAGTTAAGATTATGAGATAGAAAAGATTGTGTAATCAAGTTTTTGAAGTAAAGTTAGTTGTTCTTCACACGAACTAAGCAATTTTCCAAACCATGTAAATCCTGTATTTTTTGCTTATGTGTGTTTTTTTTATCTATTATATTTGTCAATTGTGTGTGAAAAACCCTAACAACTAGTATCAAACTTATGACGACAAGTATTACATATGGAAAGTAACTGGTCGAGAAATTTGATGGAAGAAGGCTTCGGTCTTTGGCGAGTTCGGATGCAGGATTTACTGATTCAATATGGCCTAGGAGATTCTTTGGGTAAGCAATCAGAAAAGATAGAAGATGCAAATTAAACGAAAATCAACTTGAAGGCAATGAGCGTGATTCGATTAACGTTAGTGAGGATATTAAAAATGACCTGGGCCGGGTACGATCTAGATTGCTAAGAGCGGGTCAAGTAAGAGCAACCGCTTCGAACCAAGTCTTCACTAGTCAGGCCCAGGATCGGGAAATCGTGTTGGAAGCCTGATTTCAGATAAAATGAATTGAGCTCATAACCAAGATGAGCCCAGAAGAACAGTCTAATGCAAAGAGTTAGTTAGAAAACTTCTAGAAGATCTGTAACAATCTATAAATATACTGAAAATAGAGGGAAAGGGGGTTGAAAGATTTTTGAAGTGTAAAATTATTCTTTCTAAATAGAGAGCATTTTTCTTGCATATTCAGTTAGCATATAATATTGTGTATGATGTGATAAAAGAAGATTTAACAGCACACTTGTGAAAAAAGCTAGAAAATCTATATATAGGCAAGAATCTCACCAACCGGTTAATATTAAAGCAAGAGTTGTATTCTTTCAGGAGAAAAGAATGGGTAAGCCTACAAGAATATCTTGGTGAGTTCAACAAATTTATTTGTAATTTGTTTAATATTGATGTCAAGTTTGTTACCCAAGAATTGACTCTAGAGGGGGGGTGAATAGAGTCAATGGCCAATTTTTGCAAATTATAGAAGTACAATTTCTAATCAATAGTATAACCAATTATGTAATAAACAAGATATGAAAGTAATCAATTTAGCATAACTGTAAAAGAGATAAGGGAAGAGAAATTGCAAACAATAACACGGCGATTTTTGCGAGGTTCGGAAACTCCTACTCCTCGGCTCAAGATCCCTCTTGAGACTTCCCAAATTCCTTAGAGCTTCTCCTTAATGGTGGAAAGCAAACATTCAATTGAAGCAAGACCTTGCTTCTCTTTCTTGCTAGGAGAACACCCTTCTCCTAGGCTTCCTTTTGGGTCACACCAACCCTTTACAGTATCCTTGCTAAGAGACCACCTCTTTTAGTTTTACATAGGCCACACCAGCCCTTACAATTTCTTTGCTAGGAGAAACTCTTCCTCCTAGGCTTACAGCAGATTTGTAGATAGAATTTGTAGTACAAGAAATCCTCTCAAGAACTGATACAAATCAAACCTCACAATAGAGTATATATGAAATCAAGTGAAGCTCAAACTCTAAGTATGAAATGTATGAGAGATGATGAGGAAAACTACAGAACAAAAGCTCTGATGAAATACTAGAACAAAAGTTCAGCAAAGGCTCACTAAATGCTCTCTGAAGTTCACTCTGATTCAACTATGGAAGCTTGTATATGAGACAAAGATCGATGTCTGAATAGAGGCTCTATGAGTGAGTATAACCAGAACAAAAGCTCTGTATAATGGTAGAGCCAAAAGCTTTCTTTGATGCACTTGAATGAATGTTCTTGAATGCTCTCTCAAGTAGTATATGAGTGAATGAGAGAGATGAGGAGAAGATATCAGAACAAACTCTCTCTTTGCAATGTGATATGATGTCTCTTAAAATCGTATATGCTTTTTAGACAAGCCCTCTATATATATAAAGAAATTCATAGCTCAATATAGCTGTTAGAAGTGGTTAGAGGAAATAAATGCAGAAAAATTGCCGTTGTAATTCAAAACCCTCAAAGGAGCCGGCTCTTTGCAAAAGTGGAGGCGGCTCAATTTCAAATGGAGGCGGTTCCATTAGAAAAGTGGAGCAGGCTCTTTTTCTGAAAAGGAGACGGCTCAATGGAAAAGTGGAGCCTTCTCTAGATTTTTAGAGCCTTCTCTACTTTTTGGTAGAGCCCTCTCTAGTTTTTCATTAAGCCTTCTCTACTTTCCTGAGCCGTCTCTAATTTTGTAGAGCCTTCTCTAGTCTTTGAGAGAGCTGGCTCTATTTCTTATAGAGGCTGCTCTTGCTTTATGAAGGCTGCTGCTAAATTGGACAGAAAAAAGTGCATGACTTCAAATAGACATAACTCAGTCCATGAAACTCCAAATGAGGTGAAATTTGAGTCTAAATTTATTGTCTTGAAGTCAGCTATCTAAAGCCACCGGCCTTGCTCAAAAATTCCAACCATAGAAAAAGTTATGGCTATTTAAGTGCAACCTGGTCAGAATTTTCGCAGAGCAGAATCAGGTATTTTGTGAAGCTCATATCTCAGTCATTTTTAATCCAATTTAGGTGAAATTTGAGTCTAAACTCAAGGGCTCAAAGTCAGCTTTCCAATGCCACTGGCCTTGTGTAAAAATTCCAACTACACAAATAGTTATAGCAGTTTTAGTGCAAGCTGGTCTGAAATTTTCTAGGCTGAAAATAGCTTCTTTTGAGATATCCATCTTTCTAGCACCTAGGACTTTGATGAATGATTCAATTAAGTTCAATGCCTGTTTCTAAGAGTCTAGGGACATACGAAGATGATAAATTTCAAGTGCATTGTGTCCTAGAGTTATTTACCAAATTTTGGCAACAAATGCTTTAAAGATGAAAAATTAATTCAATGCCTTTTCCTTTTCTTTTTAAAGACCAAAATAAATATAATGATTAATGTGCATGGTCCTAGAATTTCTAGCTTAAAAAATGAGTTCTTTCAAAGCTTATCGAACTTGAACTAACTCTTTCTTAGCAAAGATTTCATATGACAATATATATAAATGAAGTTCCTAGTCTATTGCTAATGGTCATAGGAGCATATGAATGATATATGATATGCATGGTCCTATAATTTTGAGCTTCAAAAAATATTCAAATATACTTTGACATTGAATCTTAAGCTCTCACCATCCTATCTACCCTTTTCTTCATTCTTTGACCATGATCGTTTAGGCTTGATGAAGACTTGCTTTCTTTCTTTGAAATGCTTTGTGTGATCTTTGAAGTCCAAGTTTTTCTTTGATTTCTTGCAACTTTGATGCTTCCTTGAATCCATTGCTTGAATGTTTGGAATGCTTTGGAATGCTTGGAATGGATCTTCTAGCTCATCATTGAGGATTGAATGTTGATCAACTATATATCACTCAATTAAAACATTAGTGCTTAAACATTATTAATGGTTTGTAATCATCAAAACATAAGATTGACCTTTAGATAAAATCCTTAGGCCAACAAAGTTAACTGATGAGGATAAAATAATAATTTTGTTAATATCAATACGCTCTACCCATAAGTATTTATTCAATACTTTGCTTTATGGGACAGATACCATCTCGGTGGAACAAGTTAAGATTGCTTTGTTCTTTAATAAAAAGTTATATATGAAGAAAGTCGTGATGCTCAGGCTCAAGTTCTTATTGCTTAAGAGAATAAGAGATTTGGAGTTTCAAGAAACCTTGTGCCATTGTAAGAGAAAAAATGCTACAAATGTGGAAGAAATGGACATATTCAGTGGTATTGTCCAAAAAGAAAGAAGAGTGCATCTGCTGTTGTTGTTGTGTTTGAAGATACCAAAGAAGAGAGTGATAATGATGAAGCATTATCAATCATTGAAAATAAGTGAGGCAGAGCCTTGTTGAACTGGTTCAAATTGGACAGTGGGTTTTTGGAAGTTGAGATAAATAGTTTCCGAATCAGTTTTAGAAGGCAAAAATCTTGGGAAAAAAGCTGAAGATTTGGGAAGAAGTTTTACCCACTATTTTAGAGTTGAAGACAGATATGGTAATTTTTTTTTGACAAGTTGAAGAATATTTGTTCAATAAGAAATTGGGTTTTGAAAACTTTATAAATAGATATGGGTTTAGAGAGAAAATTGTAAAGAGATAGAATTGAGATTGTTTGAGAGAAAATAGTGTGTAATCGAGTTTTTGAAGTAAAGTTAGCTATTATTCGGCTATGGACTTGACAATTTCCAAACTATATAAATTTTGTTTTTTTACTTATGTGTGTATTTTTTATCGTTATATTTGTCAATTGTGTATATAAAACCCTGACCTATTACTATAATTGACTTGAATAGTTTATTTAAGTACTTTGACAAAAATCACGTGCATGCTTTTCCGTCTGGAGTTTGGAATTTTCCGAAGTCTTTTGGGACAACTGGGTCATTTTCTTTGGAGATTTTTCCTTACATTTTATATGCTTAATTTTTAAATTATCTATTATCTATGTTGATACAAGCTACCAGCTACATGCTTAATTTTTAAATTATCTATTATCTATGTTGATGCAAGCTACCAGCAAATATTGTAGTCTGGTAATTTTTTTTCTTTTGAAGTAGAACAAATCCTACTATAAATCACTCCAATCGAGAATTTTAGAGGGAGTAAGTTCTATAGACAAATGAAATTGAGTTTCTGTTTCGTTCAGAACAGACTAGACTGTTAATAAGACTATATAACACTACTCTTGATTTGGTTTGTTTTTATTTATTTATTTTTTATTTTATATAATATCATTTTGTTATTAAAATTCAATCTTACTTGCTGCCAAGAAAAAGTTTTTTTTTTTCATAAACTGACCAAAAAATATATCAAACCTTCAACTGTATAAGAGCTTTGATGTTGCGTTTGAGAGTATTGAATCCATGCCTTGAAATTGAAATTGAATGAGTTTTAGTTCAAAATTTTATTTAATTCCAATCCTAAATCCAAATCACCATTTCGGTGCAACCAAACATTGCAAGAATTTTTTTTTTTTTTTTTTTTTTTTTTTTTTTTTTCCGCCTTCCGTGCCGAAGTAGGGGGAACCTCCTCCCTACAACATCAATCTAACGGCTCAACTCCATGGACCAACCCGTGCGTGTCAGTGCCTGCTAAACTAGTTCATTCTTAAATTTAACAAATATAATGGTCATGGTAAATGAATGAGAATGGTGTTCATTAGTATCACTTGCTTTTTAAGCATGGCTTCTTTGGCATGTCTTGTAAGTCCATATAGCATGCATTCACTATGTCACCATTCAATCTTCTTTAATACTCTACGCATATTAGCAAATACACTGAAACACGATTGACATCAATTCATAATTACTCTATTTTTCTTAGTCGATAGACACACCCCTTACTTAAAGAATTATTTGTATTAAAGAGGAGTCAAACCATAAACCTAACGCTTCAGAGACACTAGAGTGAAGTGACTCACCCACTTGAGGCAATCCTTGGAATTAAGCATACTCTACATGACTGAACAAAATAACAACTAGAGAAACACACCAAACCTGTCTGCATACCATACCATGCTTACCAATAAACAAAGACCAGTTGATATTAGATCTACATACCATACCATGCTTACCAATAAACAAAGACCAGTTGATATTAGATCTACAAACAACTGGAACCAGGAACATCTATCCACTGCAACTGGAGTTCAATCTCGCCACTTTCGACATTTTGCAGTCTAACGAACATATTCTGGACAACCTTGCCGTCCGTCCAGACAATGCAGCTCTCTTCTGCCAAGCAATTCTCCCGGCTCGGTGTTACTCTTGTGACGATGGTTCCATTAGCGACATTTCCCAACTGCATCTTTAGTGCTTCAAGGAATGGTCTGATGTCCAACTCTGCATCTCCCATTTTGTCATCAAAGGTGAATGTGTCCTTGTCATAAATCGACTGCAATTACATAGAATAAAATGGTGTATAAATTATTATTCGAATTAATTATTGAAGAATTATCTTTACTAATCACAACAACGAAATTAACGTCATTCAAGAAATGCCATATTGTTGTTCATGTCCATGAATTAAGCACCAAGATCAAGTGAGGTATACCCTATTTTGAACTAGTAGCAGTACAAGCTCTTTAAAATAACTGAAATACTTACAAGCGTAATTGGAATATTAGGATCTGCAACAGAGAGAGTCAAATCTTCATTCCACTCAGGATTGACATCTTTTTTCACTACAGGAGTCTTCAATTCCTGCATCAAATTTGAAATAAAAATAATATGGGTTAAAATAAATAAAGTTGAAGCTCTAATTATTATCCAAAATGAGTGGAATATCAACTCGAGTACTACCTACAAAGATATGCATATAATACAACAATTTGAAGTAGAATCAAGCATTTCACAACTTCAAATTACGAGAGACAAAAAGATAATGATACTGTCGGCAAAACAAGCCGTTGACAGGTTAGTTTCTGGCTAATTCCAGAATGGAAAATAATTTTAAAATTTCTAAATTTGTAACCTTACACTAATTGCAAGGGTAAAGTGCATGAAAAACTCCTATGCTGCGTTTGGTGTGCAGGAATGGAATGCCCATTCTAACCATTTCATTGTTTGGTATGCAATTTAAAGTGGGAGTGGCCATTCTATAAGAATGAAAATCCATTCCCAGGAATGAAAATTCATTCCACAACTAAACATATAGAATGGTCATTCCATTCCCAAGTAATTTTCTTAAGAAAATAAATTTCTCAAAAAACTCTCATGTTCCAAGTCCAAAAAATCACCACTGCCTTCTACCACAACCACCTCCACCTTTTACCACCACCATCACCACTACCACCGCCTTCTACCACCACCACCGACACCGACTTTCACCATCGCCCACCTCTTTCCACCACCACCATGTACCGCCACCCCTTTCCACCACCACCAATACCGCCTTCCACCGCCACCATCGCCTTTCATTTCCATCACCACCACTGCCACCACCGTCTTTCACCACCGTCACTACCTTCCACCACCGCCTTTCACCACCATTACCACCTTCCACCACCGCCGCCTTCCATTACCATTGCCTTCCACAGCCACCGCCACCGCCACCGCCTTCCATTGCAGCTACCGTCACCGCCTTCCATTGCAGCTACCGTCACCACCACCATCTTCCACCACCATTGCCTTCCACCACCACCACCACTGCCACCACCTTCCACCACCACTGCCACCTCCTTCCACTACCACCTTCCACCATCACCACTACCGCCACCGCCTTTCACCACCACTACCATCTTCCGCCACTGCCTTTCACCAACGCCTTTCACCACCACCATTGTCTTCCACCACCGCCTTCTATCATCACTGTCGCCGTCGCCATCGCCATCGCCATCGCCATCGCCTTCCACCACCACCACCCCCATCGCTTTCCTCCACCACCACCGCTACTACCATAGCCTTCCACCACCACCGCCTCCACCTTCCACCACCACCATCGTCACCACCTTCCACCACTACCACCACCAACCACTGTCACCTCCACTACCTTCCACCACCACCGCCACAGTCACTTACATTAGCTTCCACCACCATTACCTACACCACTATCTCTTTCCATCGCTGCCACCACCCTACTGCCACCGTCACTGCCGCCGCCTTCCACCATTGCCAACACCGCCGCCTTTAAACACCGCCACCTCCACCACCACCGTCCACCATCACCACTACCACCATTTATTTTAAAAAAATTATTAGAAAATGTCATTTTGTTAATTTAATTTATTTGTTACTAAGAGAGATAATTTGGAGAATTTAATTTAAAATTTATTATTCCATTCTAAATTTTAAATTGATCCAACCAAACACTAGAATGGTTATTATCATTCCATTCCTACACATTTCATATTTACAACCAAACAATATAAAGAGAATGACCATTCCATTCCATTCCCATTCTCATTCCATTCCATTCCCACTTGCATTCCATTCCATTCCATTCCTGCACACCAAACGTAGCACTAGAGTATAATTGGCATACAACTTTGGCTCTTATTTTAAAAAAAGTGTATTATTAACCCTTTTATTCTTTAAAAATTGAGCAGAAACATCCATCAAATCATTTTTTGCAAAAAATTAACATAAAGTAATTTTATAATATTCGTTTTGTCCTTTTACTTTTCCGAAAATTTTGGAAGGTGAGTATATGCTAATAATCTTATAGCAAAGGGATATTATGTGCACATTAACTATATTTAACCCACTTTTAAGAATTTTCTCTCACCTTTACAAAAAATAAAATTTTCTCTCTATATAATTTCCCTAACAATTTATTATCTTTCTATATTATCACTTTTTGAATTTACGTTTTACATTTCCTACAACTTAACACCACTAATAAGTTAGAATGTTTTAATATATTTCTTTTACTAGTCAAATGGAGATATAAAAAAAACATCTCAAAAAAAATATATTTGTTCTCACAGTTGTTAGACTAATGTGTAGTATATCATATGAAATGAAAATCTCAATTCTTTTTATAATTATAAAAAAAAAATAATATAGCTATAATTTTTTATTAAATATATAATTAAAAAATTAAATTAATGATACTTATTCATTACATATATATATATATATATAATTTTGTACATAGCAACAAATAGGTGATTATTTTTTACTAAAAAACTCGCGTCACTGCCCTCTACTCCTTAAATTTTTCACAAATATATATATATAATTCATTGCATAACAACAAATGAGTGTGCAAATTATATTGAAAAAAATATATATATATGGTTGTTCAATTACCCCCACCTTAGAGTTGTTTTACCTGGGTATTATCCTTTTTCGTCATTTCATAAAATGATTATTTTTTTTAAATAATGTGTAAATTGTTTCCCTAAGGTTGATTTGGACAAAGTCTACCTTAAATGTGTCAGGTGGAACTTATTTTGCACACATTGATACTTTAGGGGTGTTGTAGGGTCATATTTGCACTTTTAGCCCCCTAATTATAAATATATAAAGATCATTAACAAAAAGCTCTTTCATGAGAGAGACTCCAAAATAATACCTAGTACAAGAGAACTCCTCAAAACAGAGCAAGAGGAAAAAATTCTAAAATACCGCCGAAACCATATCCTTACGTCTCCCCGCCGTTGGATATGAATATGGGCCCACGTAATGCATGATCCAGCGGAATACCTATAGACTTTCCCGGCTAGAGGACAATAATGTTGAAAAAATAATTATAACAAATCATGAAAATCAAGCTTCACCCTCTGATTGAACTTATACATATACAAGACAAGGTAACATATATTATAATATTACTCATTTCTCAACTGGTAAAGACAACCAAAAAATTTGGGAACATAAAGTCCCAGGAAAGAAGAGAAGATCAAAAGAAATAAATAAATAAAAATAGTATTGGAACAAAATCACAAATAGTTTTACTCAAACCATAACTCTACAGGTTTATAACAATAATAGGCATATATATATATATATATATATATATATATATAGTGTGTAAAGAGTAAGGCTATCAAGAATCATAACCCCTTACCGCGGGATTGAAAAAACTTGAACACCAACTAATCAATTACTGTAATATCAAATTTTGCATCAAAAGCAACCAATTAAAGCAGCAAACCCACCCCATGGAAAGGGTTGAAATTGAATCAAAGAGTAAAAAAGATTGACCTGTTTGCCCATTCGGACCACAAGGTAAGGATCGCTGCTTGTTGAATCTCTGACAGCAAGGTTTACGCCTCTGTGGACGTGAATTCTGAGAAGACCCAACGAATTTTCCATCTGAATTAGGATGGGCGTGTTGGACAAGTTCAACTTGTTGCTTGCTGAGAGACTTAAAATGAATGGATGAAAGAGAATTGGTTTGATTATGAGGGAGACTTTTGAAGCAGAGAAAGTGGTTTTGATTCCTTGGTCTGACGATTCTGACCTCTTTTGTTGTTTTTACTTTTTGTACCAACAAATCACGCGGCCACAGTAAGTGGAGCATTTAGATGAAGTAGTATGTTAAAGTCTCTCTAAATTTCATGTTGCTCTGTTTGAGGTGGAGGTATGAAGAGCAGAGTTCAAAAAAAAAACTTCTTTGGGGGGTTGTTTTGGGTAATTTATATAGAGGGGGGTTTTTAATAATTTCAGTGAGGGCAATTCCAACCACATAAATTTTGTGTTTTTTGCTTTTGTGTGTATTTTTTATTTGTTATATTTGTCAATTGTATGTGTGAAACCTTAACAATTAATATTAGAGCTATGACAGCAAGTATTACATATGGATTACATGGTTGAGAAGTTTGATTGAGAAGTTTGATGGAAGAAAAAACTTCAGTCTTTGGCGAGTTCGGATGCGAGATTTACTGATTCATTGTGGTCTAGGAGATGTTTTGGGTAAGCAATCAGAAAAGATGGGAGATGTTTTGGGTAAGCAATCAATGCGATTCGATTGACGTTGGTATATAATATTATGTATGATGTGATAAAAGAATATTTAGGAGCGGACTTGGAAGAAGCTGGAAAATTTATATATAGGCAAGAATCTCACCAACCGATTGGTATTAAGCAAGAGTTGAATTCTTTTAGGAGAAAAGATCGGGTAAGCATACAAGAACATCTTGGTGAGTTCAACAAAATTATTTGTGATATGTCTAATATTGATGTCAAGTTAACTGATGAAGATAAAATAATTATTTTGTTAACGTCAATACGCTCTACCCATAAACATTTATTCAATACTTTGTTTTATGAGAGAGATATTATCTCAGCAGAACAAGTTAAATGATGAAAAGAGTCGTGATACTCAGGCTCAAGTTCTTATTGCTCAAGAGAAGAAGAAATTTAGAGTTTCAAGAAACCTTGTGCCATTGTCAGAGAAAAAATACTGCAAGTGTGGAAGAAATTGACAAATTTAGTGCTATTGTCCAGAAACAAAGAATAGTGCATCCGCTGCTGTTGTTGTGTCTAAAGATATCAAAGAATATAGTGATAATGATGACGCTTTATCAATCATTGATAATAAGGGAGAAACTAAAGAATGGATATTTGATTATGCTTTGTTCCTTTGACGTGTGTCCTCATAAGAATGGTATGCTACTTACAAACCTATAGGTGGTAAGGTATTTATGAGAAATAATGTTTCTTGCGATGTTATGGGAATTGGAATAATTAAAATCAAGACAACGAATGATTTGGTAAGAATTCTAACAAATATATGTTAGAAGGAATGTGATATTTGTGGGAGCATTGGATTCCAAAGGTTGCTGGTGTGAAGTGAAGAATGGAGTGATGAAGATTAGAAGAGGGTCACATGTCATGTTTTTGAGAAAAAAGGTCAACAATCTCTATATTTTGTTATGAAATGCTATATTAGGTGGAACAATTATAAAGACGGAATAGAAGCCTATTTCGAGATCTACTAGAATGAATAATCAAGAACAACAAGAGAAAGAAGAAGCCTTGACAATTGTAAGAGTATCAACCTTTATCCCAAAAGCAAGAAGAGTTCAATTTGGTGATGTGAAAGTATGTAGATTCTAAGTTTAATTATTTGAACTTGGAATTTGCTAAAAATAGATAAGTATGGTGGCGCAGCGAAGAACGACAAGAAAGAGAATGATGAAGTTTGAAAAAAAGGTAGAGATTGTTAGAGTGTTTCTCAATTTCATCATAGTGCTCTATTTAAGGTGGAGTTATGAAGAGATTGAAGTGAAACTATAAATAGATCCTCGTTCAAAGTGGAGCTATGGAGGAGCACGTGAAGACATAGTCTGATCACGTGTTGATTACATGAATGATTTGGGAGATTGAAGATTTGTAGACTTGATTTTGGTTACTGCTAAAGTTAAACCGGTTCAAGTGTGGCATCGACTTTGACTACTGCCAAAGTTGAACTGGTTCAAATGGGGCAGAACCGGTTCAACTTGGACAGTGGATTTTTGGAAGTTGCGAAAAATAGTTTCCTAATCAGTTTTGAAAGCAAAAGATTTGGGGAAAAAATTGAAAATTTTAGGAAGAATTTGTACTCACTGTTTTAGAGTTGAAGACAAATATGGTAACTCCTTGTAAGCAAGTTGAGGAATATTTGTCCAACAAAGAATTGGATTTTAAAAACTCTATAAATTAGGGATGCCAATTTGACCCGCCCCGGCGGTTACCCACCCCACCCAGCCTCGTTTTTGGCGATTTTGGGGGACCGTTTTGTTTATTTGGGAGGGGATCGTTTGATGCAATAAAAACCCTTGCGGGTTTGGTGCGGGGGCGGGGGAAGGTCGCCCCGCACCACCTCACCCCGTTTAGATAAGCAAATTACTTAAGTACTCTTTTTTCATTAATATATATATTTCCCACTATATATTAAATACCCTATATAACAATATTAAAGTAACAAATGAATTTTATTAAAATGAAAGTTGCAATGGTGAAGAATTGAAGATGAGGGGAAAAAAAAAAAAAGCAAATCCATTTTAACAATAATTAAATTATGGTTTTAAACGGGGTGGGGCGGGTACCCGTAGAATAAAAATGTTAAACGGTTATGGAGATGGGGTGAAAAATTCCCCCGTTTTTGCAGTTTTAGGCGGGGATGGGGATGAGGTTTTTAAACTGTTGCGGGGGCGAGGGGAGGGGTACACCCGCCCAAACCCGCCCCCGTTGCCATCCCTACTATAAATAGATATGGGTTTAGAGCAGCTCAAACGCGGGCCTTTTAAGGCGATTCTAGGTCAGTTTTGCTATTGGACTCCTCTAATGGCCTCGCCAAAAATTGGGCCCCACCCACTGGGTCACGGAAAATCGCGACCCTCTTGGTGAACCGCTGGCCTACCATACGGACCCGCATCAGTTTTGTTTTAAATTTTTTATTCTCGGCCAGAACAGTGTTTTAGCCCAGAACACTATTCCTAAAGCTCTGTTTGCTTGAAAAAAACAGATTTTTGGCTTGTTTTGGTCTCTCTTTTTCTTTTTCCTCAAAATAATTGAACCAAAGAGCTGCTAAGGCACTGTTTGATTGACACAAACAGTGCCTTAAAGGCTTTTTTAGGTAAAAAAATGTGATACCCTTCGATTTTAGAGCCACGGGTGATCAAGTCCGAACACAGAACCGAGGGATAACAAACAATTAAGTATATAAATAAGCATAGAATATAAGAAGAATTTAAAGAAATACGATTAAACAAGCTGAAAGAAATCTAAATAATAAATCCTCAAAGTAATAATAAAATAATCTCATATTTCCAAAACCTCCAATATTATTACAATTCGGGAATCCATCTAGTGGACCCCTAATCAAATCCAGAAAATAAAACTGAACTAAAAGGAAATCCAAAACTAAAGCATAAAGAATAATCCTACGTTGTCGGAAGAGTGAGTGACTGTCTCTGCTCAGCACGAACAAGCTCCAAGCCTAAAACTGTCGAACACCCTAAAAATAATAGTAGGTCAGGCCCACGAACAAGTTCTACTCTAACACAATCCAAATAGAGACCCGATACGCAAATACATCCTAGATAACTCAACAATAACTAAATAGTCCATAAATATATATATCCACAATAAGAGACTCTCACTAGACTACAAGGCGGTCTCAACCTGGCTAGTAGGTAACATGCAAAACGCACCTGAAATGGGCATGAGTACCTAGACCTAACAGGGTACACCTCTACCATCATAGCTAGCTATGCATCCCACTGCATATACGCTCCCTAACCATCGATCCTGAGATTCAAACTCATATCGTGGTACCATAATCATATATATAAATCCATCCACAACCAAAGTAATGTCATTTAACTATTCGTTGATGTGATATGAATATAAGTAGGACGTAACTTTTATAGTTAATCCATTTCCTTATTCCAGAATAGGTAGGACTTAGTATTTTAAACTAATCCGTCCCTAATATGCCACCATACCATACCGGTGCATACAATCCACAAAATCCATATAATTGACAGAACAGAATAAAATGTTCATTAATTAAAATCCAGAGAATGATATAATGCAAATCAGATAAATAACTGAGCACATTATATTAAATTATTCAAGAATATATCCATGTTATTCCATTTAACTTGCTAGTACAAACAACAAGCAATTAAATCCTCCATAAACATTGATAACATGCAAATCAGTATATAAATTTCATGATGTCCAATATTCTAGCATAGTAGCATAGATTAATCAATTCCTGGGATTTTAACATGTTTATTTACATCATTTAAAACTCCCCATTAAAGTTCATAATCACATTACAGCCCCTGAAAACCAAAAAACGCATCAAAATACACCTACTGGTATATTCACAAAAGGGGAGCCGACTCCATTAAAGGTGGGGCCGGCTCCACTCCAAAGGAGTCGCCTCCTTTAAATGTGGAATCGGCTCCACTCCAATGGAGCCGCATTCATTGAAGATAGAGCCGCCTCCACTCCTTCCAAATTCCATCTCTTCCGTCTTCGGCGAATTCCAATCCCTTTGTCCTCCATTACTAAGGTTCCTAGGTGTCTGAACTAGGTCCCAACACATCCCCATCATGTATATAATACAGTATGCATCATTAATACCAATTAAAACACACATTCATGTAACTCAATTCAAGATTAAACAATTTCAAACAAAATCACATAATACTGTTTTAATTCGGAATTAGAATGCAATCAAGACCAGTTTTAAAATCCAATTTAAATCCTAGAGATTAACTAGGCATGTACAGAACACAAGTCTGGGGGAAAAAGTAAGAATAAGAACTTATCTTTGAGATTTCAGATTAAAATCTCAACGTCGTCTTCCTAGATTTTTCGGCGACTTCTGATTACCTTCAAGCCTCCTACTGCTCTAGTTCTAACCCACAAGCGGACCCCTTTCCTTTTTCCCTTGGCTCTCCCTTCTCTCCTCACAGTTCTATCTCTCAATTCTCTGCTACCACTCTCTTCTATAAGGTAGCGTGAATAGGGTTTTATGAACCCTAAGGTAAACAACACTATGTATATATATATATAGGTTTATAAAAACCCTAATTCCAATTATATGAAGAGACGGAAAAGAAAATCTAATATAAAATAAATTTAT